TTTATTTTGTTCAAACAGTAGTCCAATAGCATACTTACTTCATGTATGGTTAATTACTGTTCGGCGCATGCGGAAGTGGCTGCAGTGTAGTGGTATTCCTCACAATCGGTGTTAACGTTTGCAATTTTTAGCTCGTAGCAGCAGCTGCTAGTGATTAATGATTAACTTCTGAAAAATGACCAAACGATAGAGTGAGCGCAAACACCGCATTTTTATAGAGTTTGTATAACATTTATAGGGCCTTCTGTCGAGTTTCTCGTTTAGATGAAGTTCCCCTACTTCTAAGATTTAATATATAAGGAAAACGCCTTTTTATCGCGCCGAGTTCACTAAGAAACCTGTTTGCCCCGCGCTAATTGGGTAAACCCTAGAGGCGTAGACCCAGATGTTTGTCTACGGCGACGAGATGCATCGGGTGGAAGACTGGAACGTCGTGGACGTTCTGGTCGACGGCGGGCTCCTGCAGCACGGCGCCGTCGTCAACGTGGCGGAGGGCGGTCTGATCGTCGATTTTCGCTGTGCGGGGCAGCGGGCGCAGTTTGTGGAATACGGGCGCATTTTTGGCTGCAGCTCCAAGGCCGGATGGCGCTCGCCGCAGGACGCCCAGCCGGTGCAGGTCCTGCTGCGCCGCCCAGTGGACGGCGCCTGGATTTGGTATGCAGGCCGGTTCGTCGGCACCGGAGCACTGAGCTCTGTGTATGCGAAATGCGTGCAAGTGCTGTTGCCCCATGGGACCGTCAAGGAGCTGGTCCCCCGTCGTCAGCTGCGCCCCCCACCCACGGTCGCCGGTCTCCGAGAGCGCTGTGTCAAGAAGGATGATTTCGTCATCCGCTGCTGTCGGTTGCCGCCTCTCTACTGGTCAGAGGCGTCCGCTGCGGTCCGGGAGGTCTTCCAGTACGAAATCAACCAGCGCTTCTACGTGCACTGCACGGCGCTGCTCAGCAAGACGCTGCATTATCTGCAGTGGCACACTGACTCTCCGTTGACGGATGAGCAAGTGGTACGTTTCTGTATATTCCCTCCGTTTTATTATTTCCTTTAAAATTTAATTGATGGATTTTATGTGCATACAGAAATCCGCATACAACACCATAGTGACGCTTGATGCGGAGATGGGTCGCACAACCGTTACGTGGCAATGGCTGCTCCGCCATCAGGAGACCGCTAGCACTCCGCAGCCAAAACGAAAAATTCCCGGAGGTCAGCGCGGGAGTCTGCCGCTGCCGGTGGAGCTGCTGCTGGAGGTCTTCCGCGCCCTGGACTCCATCGGGCGTTTCCGATGTCGGCGGGTGTGTCCCCTGTGGAACGCTCTCCTCACCACCGAAGCCTACTTCCCCGATGTGCGCGTCTCCAACACCGACACGGACTACGGTGGTGTGCCGGATTACGAGCATTCACTGTACTGGATGTTCGTCTGCCTGCTGAAAAGCCTGAACAGCGCGACGAAGATGGCGGTTATCGTGGGTATCGGACTGTACAAATTCTTCGAACTAACCATCCTGCTGTGCGCGGTGCTCAAGGCGACGAGCCTCCCGGCGCTGGTGCTCCACAAGGGTAATTTCATTGACGAAGACGGGAACGTGGACGCGGTCATCAGCTGTCTGGCGGTGCTGTCCGTGCCGAAGGCGTCGCCCGCCCGAATAGTTTGGCGACAGTGCCGTTTCGGGGATGCCAACATCACGGCCACGGTCGCGGAGCATTCGTTCCGCGGCATTCAGGCGGCCGGGTATGGGGTGCGGAAAGCGAAGTTGTGGGAGCTGTTGGAGAAGAATCTCGTCCTCAAGAAGCCCTTGGATCGGCGGATACTGGGGCAGTGGATTGCCGACTGCATTGCGCACCAGCGCAAGGAGCAAATTGAAATGATTATCGAGGTCAGTTGTTTTTGGGCCGGATTAGTGGTACTAAAACGATGATTTTAAAGCTCTCAATTGGAATTGCTTGTACAGCGGTTCCATGGAGCAATCGACTGTTCCGGTTGGAAAAGAATGCGAGGTCACGAAGCAGCTATGATTACGATTACCAAAAATTGAGAAACACCAACCAGTTCACTGTGCGGCCAAATCGCAGGCCTAATAATATTTATTAGAACGTCCCGTACGGACGGTAGAAGAACGAAAACGGAAATCACGTTCAGAAATAGTATGGACAGTTTCCGATAAATGTACAAAGTCATGTTGCGTGTAAGAACTTTGACTCTCTGTACGACCGATCTTCGTATGCGTGGTACTTTGAGGAGGCTTGGAGATTAATCTAAATATTGGTGGGTTCTCTCGCTCGTATATTTATTAACTTTTATGATTACCAGATACGAGTACATGTGTAACTGGTAATTATAAAACAAGATCATAATTTCTGGTCAAATCTGGTGCAATGTCAGTAGTTACTACAAGACTATCAGCAGGGCGCCATCCGAGGGAAACCGAGAAACGGCTGAAAAATGCACTGATGGTCGGATCGAACCTCGGCTACGTCGTTAGATCCACGTAGGGCAGTACCACTGCACCACGGCGCAATACGTTGAAATCCTTTGAAAGATTTTGTCGCTGTACATGAGCAGCTTCTCTTCTCACAAGACTCTAATTTACTTTTGCTGCACTTACCATAGTCAGTGGTGCGCGTTTGAACTTTTATAGAAGTTCGTCAAATACATTTAAATTTTTGAGATCGGTGTTTCCACCGAACCAGACTAGGCCGCCACCATTTTCTTCGCCATTCGAGAATGAGCACGGAAATTAGCTGATTAGAAATTTTGATAGATAAGGCTATCTGGACCAATGTCTATACAGTACTCTCGTGGCTCGTCCCGTCTCGCATTAACTGGGACAAATTCACGCTTGTTGTCGTCTCCCGGCTAGCATGCAGTGTATAGTGACTGATGTGGTGGCACCTTGCAGGTTCTACATAACTACCAATGGCGGGATACGCGTGAGTCGACCCATTACCGTTGCCGCAACTGGACGCCGGTTACCCTCCACAAACTGGACACCAGCAAGCTGACTACGCTGACGGCGGCGGTGCTGAGCGAAAGGGTAGAGCAAAGCGTGATTCTGCTCTCATTGCCGAACTGGATGTGTCTGCCTGGCTTCATGTTCCTCCTTTTAGCAGTGCGAAAATGGGCCTGCTTTATTATAGTTTTATTCGGCATACGTAATAATTCGTTTGCGCGGGTTTATACTAATAAAAAATTTAAGTTTTTAAACACTGGAATAAACATCCAAAATCATTAGAGTCTTCATGAGTTTAGAACGTGCGTTAAATGTAACCAAAACAGCCGCTGTATTCCTCTGTCCTACCGCTAAATTTTGACGTTGCTTGAAAAAGACTGTAGAATGTAGATCGAGGCTTCCCGGTAATATCACGGATCTTGCCCCCAACGAAAGCGGATTAGCTCGGCGAAAGCCAATCCAAATGTCCCAAGGATATGGTCGCAAATGTCCTGGGCGTGCTCTTTAATATGCGAACGGCACCGGCAATAACAGTTAGATAATCGACCAGGCACATATTTTTTTGTAACTTATTTTATTCAGTTTCTTGGAAGAAACATGTGGTTAGAAAATGGATGTTGCTAAAGCGAACACGTAGTAGCAGGGACAAGAAAAATGCATTGAATTACTAGTAGTCCTCATCTGATTCATTAATACACTATTAGTCACATTCTCAACGTTGCATGCTCGTTACGTTTATTCGGAGATCGTTGGACTAACGCAAATTCTTGCGCATACATCCCTGGAGCGGCTTTTGCTGCATATTGGCAAAACCCCGGAAAACTCCGGAATCGGCCGTCTTGTCTCTGATACCTGACAGTTGACACGCCACTGGTCGCAATCCGCACGGCCACGAGCGGCAAAATTGGTATGAACTATGGTAGTACCAGACATTGCATACAAGCCAATACGAGCATTAGTCTATACGCGGGAAATGCCGGTCGCAATTTGCGGCGGCAACTAGCATGGATAGGGTACTTACCTATGTACAACACGGTTGTATAGCAAACCACAAGAGATGCCTAAGGGATTATCGTCGCTTAGCGTATAAAGCGCATGCGAGTCGCACAACAACGTCCATTTACTGCCATAATAGGTAATAATTACTGAGAAATTGTGAATTTTTCCTCACTTTTGACTGTGAATTTCTGTACCAAGCCAATCAACTGTACCATGGAGCGAACGACGAGCGAAAAGATCCAGCATGCCAAGGACGCTTATGAAGGCCGTGCGGGCGATATGCAGCGCGTGACCACGGAGAAGCACGAAAAATCCGGCGGCGAGGAGAGGCACAGTGTGGTCAGCGAAGTGAAGGACGCGCGCAGTACGACCGAGAAGATGACCGATGCCAAGAAGGCATACGAGGGACCTTGATGGAGTTGTGCGGTACTGCGACAGACGTAGCGGTTTATAAAATACCATTGCATATTCGGGCTAACTACTGCGGAATTTTCATGGAATAGACCTTGCTTATAACAAAATGAACAGAATGACCGGTACATTAACTGTGTCTCTCTTTTCTCGGCATCTCACGTTACTCACGGCGGCGTGCATGTTTCCAGGACTAGTGTAAAGCACATTATTAATTTTGTGATGGTACAGTACTAATGTTGCATGCGTTGTATTGTATTTTCTGCTGAATTCACTTGCTGCTGTGATACAGTAATTACAAATAAAGACGGACAGTAAAAACGTCTGTGAACAAAACGCAAAATTAAAAAAAGGATTAAACTCTTCGCAGTGACCCTTGTCTAACTTCTTGGTTAGGTAGTTCCCTTAACTTGACTACAGGCCGCAAACACATTACCACTGCATGTAGCAGACACGCGTATCCTTAGCGTCGACTTAATTACTCGTACACTCACTGCTGTCAGCATGTTCAACGCGTACTGCCGGCGCGATCGATGTTTTGTATGCATCGTAAACAGACATGCTCCACATCCGGCGCTTACACACGCTATACGCTCAGTCAGCACGAGCATGCTTGCCTTCCGTGAAGTTGTAGTCGCTCGTCTCTTTGCGTTTGTTGTCATTATAAAATCATTCACCAGATCGGACACCCTAGGTTATCTTTACGACACCATTCATTGCGCAATGCGCATAATAATATGCGCTCGTACGAGTATATATGCCGCAGATCTTCTTAATCTTAATACTGTCATGCTTGCTGTGTGTTTTTTCAATCATCATTTCTTAACACCCAAACACCCAGCTGTAACAGTTCCCTAGCTCTGCAGTCTGCACCTAATTATTCCAAAACTACGGTTACGCGAATAGTTTGCTAGACGATTTAAAAAAAATAGTCATGCATAGTACTTCCTTAACTGTCTGCGTTTGCCCTGCGCGTATTTGTCTATGGACTGCCAGATAGTTACCCAAAACTCCTAAATCATCCGCGAAGAAAAAAGATGCCATGGAACCGGCCAAAGTTTGGCTGTAAACGGACCGCTGACGAGAAGGAAGAACGGAAGACGCGCTGTTGTGGCTGTTTTCCCACCTTCGCTTCGTTGCGCCGTCGACGCCGTGCACGAGGCAGTGCCTTACAAATGTACGCACCGGAAATGCATCCGACTCCGAACGCGGGAGCAGATGTGGCCGTCAAGATCTACCAAGCCGTGGCGCAAGCGCAGCCGCCCAGCGCCAGCAGCAACGTGATCATCTGTTCGTCTTCTATTCAGCACATTTTATTGGCTCTCCTTCTTGGCGCCCGCGATCCACTGCGCCAGGATCTCTTGGCGCTGCTGTGTTCCGACGGATGCAGTATTGATGACGTCAGCGCGGCGTTGTCCTGTGTCGCGAGCGACGGGGCTTTCAGTCAAGTCAACGCGATCCTCTACAGTGACAAACTCACCCTCAAACCGTCCTTCAAAGACGCCATGGATAAATCCGATGTGGTCGTACTCCCGGTGGATTTTGAGAACGTAGCTGCCAGCCAGAAAGCATACGACGATTTTTTGATAAATTACAACAGTGACCACCTCCCGGTGGGTGGGCGAAATGGGCAGCGTTCTCGGTAACCCTTTAACCAGTCTGGTGTTGCTCAGTTTATTAACGTTCTCCGCGCCCTGGGTGCTGCAGTTCGAAGACAACTACACCAAACCGCGCGTCTTCACCGCCCTGGACGGCAGTCAGAAGACCGTCCCGTTCCTCCTGTCCGGAAGAACGACCTGGACGTCCTTTAACGCAGCGATGAAAACCGCCGCCACGGATCCGCAGATGGTAATTATGGAGGCCGGCGAGAAGCGGTACAGTGTGATGTGTGTTCTACCGGCTACCGCGGGCGGTGAGGGACTGCGTCAGCTGGAGGAGAGCCTCTCCGCGGAGACATTGCGGGGATGGCGGAAGCAGAGTGTGCGCGCCGTTATGGCACTGTCTTTGCCGAAATTCCGGATAACGTGCCAGGTGGAGCTGCGACGCGGGATAGAGGCGTTGGGGCGGCCAGGTGAGTTGTACCGCACCGCTACTGGGTTTTCTGACATGTTTGAGGAGTGTCCGCTGCAGGGCGTTACCGAGTTCCGGCACAATGTGATGTTCGGTGAGTGTTAAGAGGGGTGACCCGGTACATGGTACCAAATTCGTGTACAAGCACGAAAATTTATTTTCGCGCGCTCCCTAAGACTTTGGTGCATTGTTATATGGCGTTCTGTAACCCGATGATTTGTACGCAGGGGCGTGAAAACCGTTTGTACGCGCAGCCTCCGATCCGTTTGGGAAGTCACGGCTGGAAGAAATTCCAAGTAGTTTAAACGCATTCATTTGTACTCGTACTACCTAACGTCTCATGGATCGATCATCTTCAAATTTTTTACTGACCTTCAAAACTTTTAAAATTCAATTTTAAAATTTGAAAAATGAATTTAGCGTGCGCAAGTATGATCTTTGTACTTGAGTGCTTTTATAATTTATTTAAGTACTTTAAGTTCGAATATAAAATTAGTAAAAATGTTGCAATTCTGGTTCCGGGTAGAAACGATACGTCTTCTTTTATAAGCGTCTATGAGCAAAATGCAGAGACGATCGGCTCATAATGAGATACTGATACACTTGAGATGCGTTTAAACGTTTTCGAATATCCTTATATAGCAACATCCACCGGCATGTTGCGCGCACAAACGGGCTTTACGCCAATGTAGACGATTATCTGGCTACAGATTGCTGTGGAAAAAGGGCATGTACTTTTTTTTTCAACGTAATGTCTTTATTTCAATTTGGCGATACAATACAGACACAAGTTTCCTAGAAAAGTAAAAGGTTTGTAATGAATACACAGCCTCAGCCGACTACGGGATTTGCATGGTTTTCGTGCATGTACCGTTGCCTGAATTTGCTATCATGTACCGGGTCATTTCACTTAATAGTAGCCAGTCGAGTGTGGCTCGCTGTACTGTGTACGCGGTTAACGAAGGCTTGATGTGTTCGGTAGAAGTGGACGAACTGGGTGTCCGGTCCAGCGTGGCTACTGTGTTCTCCGCCGAGTACCTCTGCGTACCGATACCAGCCTTCATCGCAAATCGGCCCTTCCTGCTGCTGGTTTGGCACAATCAGCTGGATATACCGCTCTTCATCGGCCGCATTACCGATCCCACGCAGGCGTCATAGTCAGATATGGCTGCCCGGGAAGAAATTCTGAGCCTCTAAAAACCATATGCCGCTTTACGTAACGGTTAATGTTATTTAGAGGCTCAGAAGTATGTATGTACCTTAAAAAATGGGTGCGCAATTAATTTCTTGCACATCTTTTACTAAGTACACTTTCGCCTCTTGAATTTCCTGTTCATAAAAAATTAATTTGAATTCTGCAAAAATGTGCAAAAATAATTACCGGCATTTTCTCTGGATTTTGTCCCGGCAAGAAGAAGCCGGATGATGATGATAATTTACTGGTTAACCACGGTCAAATTCGGGTACATACACGGGAACTTAAAATTTGAAAAAAATGGTAGAAAGCTGGTTCGGTACCAAAATGGTCTTCAAAGTAATGTGCGTTTTCGTGCAAAATTTGAAGAGCGTCGGTTCATAATGAGACTTTTGGTACATCTCCGCGCATTTAAACTTTTGGAATTTTAATTCACTAACTCCCGAACCGGATGTTGCGCGCACAAACGGTTTTTTCGCCTATGTAAACGAATCCTTTGGCTACAAAATATCACAGAACGTTTAGAATATATTGCTGCCATCGCTTTGCCATGCATAAACTTACTTTCTCGCCGATTGAACGTTAGAAAGTGTCCATATAAATTAGAATATTATGGTAACCTTCCCACCAACAGGCGATAGTACATCGCGGTACTGTAGTTTTATTTATTTGCAATAAGTACAAAGACGAGCATCGCTCACAAAAATACGTTCGCGGTACTTCTGAAAACTTGTTACTACTTAACTGTACTAACTACCGCTATACTTATCCCGCTTATATGCATGTGCTCATAACGTCTTTCAGCGTTTCCCGCTTAAATGTAGAATATCTGAACGACTCTCTTACGCGCAATGCCGTTTTAAATGGGAAAAACCGACTGGCTGATGTTATACCGCGAAAACGTTTCCTCGCCGGCAAACTTGGCCGGCCCCATACACGGTGTCAGAGCCCGCGATTGTAAATAATACGCGCGCAGGAGAGTGGCACTTGGAATCGTTACATTCACGGCTACCGTGTTTTGCAAGCGCCATACTTGGCAGCCAGCAATTCGAGTATGAAGTGACGTCCATAAACCGGTTTTTCCTTATTTTACTGCTTAATTAAATTAAAATACATGATTGCCTCATCTAAAACACGCCTATTTAAGAACACAAAAAATGTCAAAAATGTACATACTGCTGCACTTTTTTACTTGTTAATCATCAAACAAGATTTCTACAAAGAGAGTTTGGCAAATTTTATAAGATTTTGGAATCTATCACCGTTCGATCGGGATTATACACACTCAACGCTGCTATAACTGTGTGAAGAAAGATGTTGTTGAATGGATTGCGGAGATTCTGGCGGCAGCTGTTTGTTGTCGCTGTGGCGCTGGTGTTCCTTCCGCTGCCTCTCATTATTGCCACCAAGGTGTGCGTTATTACAATTATGGAATCCTGTTTTTCTAAAATCTTCTGCATGAACTCTTGGTAAAGGTCAGGAAAGGTCACGGAGCGGCTGTTTATGCACCTGTTCTTGGTTGTGATTATCATTATTTTAATATTATGCTTATCCAACTACAGTAGCCAGCTCTTTTAAAAGAAGAAATCGCATCCGGCTTTTGGAAATTCTTTGCTGCTCAAATTAGAAAATTTTTTACGTTTTGGTTTGATTTTATGAGATAAAGTTACCCAACCGAGAAGTCGCACCCAGGTCGTACAATCGTAACGCCAAACTATGGGCAGATTCAAATAAAGTATAATTACTTAATATTAAGTACTGTTTTTGTCTAAAGAAGCACATCAGCCTTTAATTTAAAATCGTGGAGATATCTTACCGGGCTATTAATAATCTTCTTTACATAACGTTAGAAAATTTTATACCGTTTTTGGTTTTGATACTCGTTTAATCAGATGATCATTGTAGGCAGCCCATTGCGCCTACGTGCTGGCGCTGATGAGCGTCTTCTGGTTGGCGGAAGTCCTGCCGATGCCCATCGTGGCGATCCTGCCGGCCATCCTCTTGCCCACGCTCGGCGTCCAGTCCTCCAAGAATGTGTGCCGCAATTACTTTAAGGTCAGTCACTTTAAATTGCATGGAAGTTGCTGCAAAGAAATTATGTTATCTAAAGCGCGGCTATAACCTGAAGTATCAATCTGGTCTCATACATCTTTCCAGATCTGTATTTACACAGATAAATACCTGTGTTATTAAAAAAAATTCTGTGTTATTTAACTGACATAAATTGCTTTCAGTAATATTAAAGTCGATCGCGATGCGATTTTCAACATTTGCTGCAACTGTGTCGCCTAAATTGGGAAAAGGTTACTACTTAACGTTGTACCCCACGTATACTTACGCTGATGTATTACTAAATAACTACATGCACGGTGAACTTAAGAAGGACAAACGCGAGGTCGTTAATATAACTGCAATTGTAATATTAGATGTTATAGTTGGATTGGATTTTTTAAAGTACATACATGTTGTGAACGCAGTGGCGTTGTCTTTTTCTTAAACTTACAGAATAAAGTTTTACTACTATGATAATAGTGATATTATGATAAACAGTAAACAACAGTAAACATGATGAATTATTCTGACGTATCGTGTAGGATTCTGCCATGCTGTTCATGGGCAGTCTGAGCGTGGCCGTGGCCGTGGAGGAGAGCCATCTGCACCAGCGCATCGCATTACGCGTTCTGCTCCTAGTGGGATCACATCCACGCTGGTAAACAGCATTCAGAATTATGTCGCCAAAATTTAACGTATTATTAATATACTGTTTCCATAAGGATGTGATTTTATTCCTCAATAAAGTAGGTACAAAGCGAGCTTCGCTCAATAATTATATATTATATATTACTACAATCATATATTACTGTAATTCCTATATACGTAAGCTCGCAAAAATAATTGTGAAGATGTTTTGTCAACAGGCTAATGCTGGGGTTTATGTGCATTTCGGGATTTCTATCCATGTGGATAAGCAATACCGGTCAGTTTACGCTTATAACTATGTATAACATAAACCGGGTCAAAAAATAATTTATGGGTCAAAAAGTTCGTTGTTTAACGGGAGAAGCGCGTTCTACTGGTTTTATATGAAGCGACGTTTTAGTTTAGCTTTTAAAGGAAATCTTACTGCTGTTAAGTACCTTGCTGTTTTACCCGCGGGTGGATAGAGATTTTTGTTGTTTTTTAGTTAATTCAAATTTTACTTGTGAAGTAGTGTGTGTGCCTGCGCTTGCAGTTTTTTGTTTCTCTTTCTACATTGTACAAGCAAAATGCCGTTTTACACTTAAAACTCAAATATTGAATAGCTAAAACAAATGGAACAACTCTTCCAGTTCTTTTGAACAACCAACAGTACCCAGAACAGATGCGGCATTTCCGCGCTGAATTTCGACGCTTATACACTGCCACAAAAACTCGGTAGCGCGCGCTTCTCCTGTTTGATCTTTTATGCGTCGGCCGACTTCACTGATGAACTGACGGGTACTGGCGCTACAAGTTCCCGTAGTCTCAAAGGAAACTGGTTGGAGAAAATAGCGATCTGTCAGTTCCCTGTAGTTGTTCCTCTTTCGCTCTTCCGCGTCTTCTGCTGCCGATCTTGCAGTTTTTCGTTATTTTGTGGCCACAGCCTTATAAAATCTATAATTTAATCTAAAAATACAAACAAATGAATTTTCTAGAAATTTCTAAATGTGTCTGCAATTACATAAAATAACACAAAATTGTCGGAGTCGGTTATTTTCAGCGGCCACGGCCATGATCACCCCGATCGCGGAGACCGTCATGATGGAGCTCTTTAAACGCCAACGAGCTGCCGACCAACTTCGAGCTCCGCGGATTTTCTCCCGCTCTCCGTCGTCTCACAACCGTGGAGGAACGATACTGTGCGTGGGAATACAGTTGCCGGCCATCAGCCCGAGCACTAACATCGTCATGGAGCTGTGCAAACCGGCTGACAACGCGAGCGCCTCGGTCGCAGCATCGGGCGGCACGGTGCCCGCTAAGATTCACCAACAGGTAAAGGCAACGCCTCGCAGACAAGGTTATAAGCACAACAAATATAAAGCTCCCAAAACAAAGAGGTAACGGCCCCGTTACGCGCGAATAGCGAGCTGATTTTTTCGGAAAAAAAGACGTAGCGAATTATGAGTCTGTATATGTTAGAACCTGGTCGCCGGCTTAATTCCGTTGGTGCTTCACAGGAGACGGGATCCTTCAGCAGACTGGATTTGGATGCGGAGGAGCTGCGCTGTATGCGAGGCATGATCCTGTGCGTGGCGTACGCGGCCAACATTGGCGGGACGGCGACGCTGACCGGCACGATGCCCAACATCGTCCTCAAGGGACAAATCGACGCGTACGTTATAGTGCTGATTTCAACCAATGACCTTTATAACTTGTCACGTATTGCCAAATACGCTGTTGTTTCTTGCTGCTCGTACACAACTCGACTGACATTCTGCAGCTGGTATTCGCAGATACCGTTGCCGTTGCTAAGACATAGTATGACTCCATTACATAACTCTTTATACCCATGTATACTCGTCCGCACGAATGCATTCAATGAAAATTAATATCTCGGTGATTCTTCAAGTGTATTATTTATTTAATAATTGTTAGTTGTTACTTATTAAAATTGTTCGTAATGACATATTGGTGCACGGTGCAGTTTATATGGACCAGTCACCGGCGTGAACTTTGCCACGTTTCTGTTGTTCTCCCTGCCGGGAATGCTGCTGACGCTAATCGTGGCCTTTATCTGGCTGCAGTGGATTTTTATCAGCACATGGTACGTTAAAAAGTCGCAGTACTCGGGTTTAAATTTACTATAAGCCTAGTACAGTTCTAATATCCATAGGTCCTGTAGAAAACGCGGGAAGAATACGGCGCCCGTGAAATCCAGGGAGGCACTCCGCGCCGGCATGCTGCAGGAGCGCAGTACTGTGCGACAGATAATCCAGGCCAAATACAACGACCTGGGCACCATCGGGTACGCTAATTTGGAAGCTAAATTGAAATGATAAAACTGATTTGAAAAATAATGTCACTCTCGTATTTTCACGGTTTGATGGCATGTTTTCTACTTGACAGATTTGGCGAAGCGAGCGTAATGCTGCTGTTCCTCTTCTTGGTCACGGCCTGGATTCTCCGCGACCCGTACTTCATCGCCGGCTGGCAGGCGTGGTTCCCCCGTGGCTACGTCAGCGACGCCACGCCGGCCATCCTCGTCAGCTTCCTGCTCTTCATCTGGCCGCGAAAATTATCGCCGGCGAATGACAGTAAAGGTCACGCCTCCCTGCCGCCGATTCTAACATGGGCCGCCATGAAACGCCGCTTCCCCTGGGATGTCTTCCTGCTGCTGGGTGGGGCTATCGCCCTGGCAGATGCCACACAGGTACCACGATGCATGGGCACGAATACGATGAACTAGTAAGTAAACAGTGCAACGTTTTTCGCAGGTGTCCGGTTTGGCGGACTGGATGAAAGACCAGATGCACTACTTGACGCGTCTGCCGCCCTGGTTTTAGGTTTTAGGTTTTAATAGCTTAATGTCTACAGATACAAGGAATCACTCCTTATCGAGATCTATAGACAGGTCAACATAATCAAATAAGAGGAACAGCAATTTTAAACTCTTAAAAGAAAGAAATAAACAATTCATCGATTTTATCAGAGGTCAAGATTATTCGATGGCAGGTGGTCTTTAGCAGATGCGATCTCCTTCCATGAGACGTCTTCCAGTGCTGTTTGGAAGGCTTGCAGTGAACGATACGACGATAGATCCAAATCGAGATCATTCCAGAGTTTAGCGATCCTCCATCCGAAGGAGTCTTCGCTGGCTGGCACTTCCGATCCACAAAAACTGGTCCTGGCGGCTTGGATCGGGAACGGGTGGCGCGACATCCGATCAGCATTCCGAGTGTTACCTGCAACAGTGCTAGCGGCAGTAACTGACTCATAACTAATGAAAAAGTTGTTACCGAAAGGTAGCATGCCAAATACGAGTTTATATGCAACACACAAAGAGGTTTTAATGCGACGTAATTCAACCCCGTCCCAGTCTATTTCGCGAAGCCGGCCACAGTAATATGTAAGTGCACTGCCCATTCGCAATCTTTTCAGAAATTTCAGCGCACATTTATCTAAATCGTCTCTATGAGTTTTAAAAAAGGGTTTAACAACTGGACTGCAATAATCGAAAAGGGGAAAAATTAATGCTTTATATTATAAACAAATAAGTGCTGCAGAATCATAATGGTTAAAAAGCGATAAAATGTAGCCTATGCGCTTCCGGATCTTGGTACACAAACTACTCGTGTGTTCACTCCACCGCAGTTTTCGATCGACCAACAACCCTAAATATTTGGCGATAGGACGATTTTCAATCTCAACATTGTGCAGAACATATTTATGTACTTCATTCAAACTTCGCTTCATGGAGAAGCGCATGTGTACTGATTTTTTCGGGTTAAAGGTCAATCGTTTAGCAAGAGCTGAATTATATACGGCATCAATATCTTCTTGAAATTTTGTACAGTCATCGCCTGTTATTATAGGCCTACATAAAAACACATCATCAGCGAAAATAAAAATCCGGCTACCATTAAGCAGAACAAACACCAACCCGTTAATTTCGCAAATAAACAGTATTGGGCCTAATACCGAACCTTGTGGTACTCCGCTTGTAGCTACCCCACGTTTTGAAAATACACCATTCACGACTACAATCTGTTGCCTACCAAGTAAATAGTTATTCAACAAACTAATAACGTCTGGGTCAATACCAAGCAAACCGAGCGTTGTCAACAAGGAATGGTGATCAACCCGATCGAAGGCTTTAGTGCAGTCTAACATTATCGCATCAACTTCAATTCCGGTATCAATAAAGTCCTTAACAAATTTCGAAAAAACCAAACACTGCAGTTCCGTGTTACGTTTAGCACGGAATCCAAACTGGTTTTCACTTAACAAGCAATTACTTTCCAGAAAGCATCGTAAATAGTTCGCAATGCACCTTTCAAAAATTTTTGAAATAGGATGCAGAATTGCGATAGGGCGGTAATTAGTAATCACCGTTTGGTCAACAGACGTTTTGGGAAGAGGTGTCACGTACGACGTTTTCCAGTGCGACGGAAATGTACTGTATTTGACGCAAGCATTAAACAAAGTAACAAGCGGTGTCACAATTGAGCTGCCGCATGCTTTTATTAACGAGTTAGAGATTTTGAACTGACCGGAAGAAGAAGAAAATTTCATTTCGTTTAGAGCCGTTAAAACGTCATTTTCGCTTACTTTAAAAACAATTTCCCTGTTTCCAGGTTTGGGAGGCAAAATAGCGCAATGAGAAGGGCAGTTGTTTTGAGACACGAGAAACACTTCGTTAAATCTATTTGCTTTGTCGCCGTCTGAAAAAAGGGTGGTAGCTTCTGGCGTTTTAATGGGCGGCAGAGTTTTTTTGTCAACACTTTGTTTGATAAACTGCCAAAACTTTTTTGGATTATTTCTGGTCGCCATCGCAACGTCTAAAATGGCGTTCCTGCGGTGTGCTTTGAGAATAGTGTCGACTTTCAGAGATTCGGCCTTCCATAATCCTTTCAAACTGTCTTTTTTTACCACATTATTTTCTTGCTGCATTTTGCGGAATAGCCTATTTCTACGATTTATCGCTTTACGAATGGCTAACGGATATTTTTTAGTTTTTTTAGCTGTACGTTCGCTGTACGCAAAAAAAACGCTGTGCAACGTTTAAAATCTCGTTTTCCAACTGTGTTGCCATAACAGATGGGTCACTATCTGTTAAGACACACTGCCAATCTATCGCAGTTAATGAATTTTGAAAAGGTCCGATTTTATCAGGAGGAATTTTCCAGTGCTTAACACCTGACTGAAATTCAGCTTTACGACATTTATAATAAACGCGGAACTGAAAAGCATAATGGTCGTTCGAAGCGGATGGAGGTGACACACATTCAACGTCCGTGACAAAGCGGTGCGTAGAAATCAAACAAAGATCAAGGATGTTGTTTTCTCTAGTGGGGAAGCGTATAAGTTGGCGAAAATTAAATTCCTTCATAGAATTAAGCAACAGCTGAGACGCAGTGGTAGGGGCTCTCATACTATTCCAACAGATATCTGGCAGGTTGAAATCACCCATCAAAATAAGCTTGTTACGTAACTCGACAGAAAGATTTTCTTGTAAATGTTCAACAAGTACCGGTATTAGCAAAGCCTTTTTTGAAGGTCGTATATAGACAACACCGAATAAACAGTCCAGAACAGGCGATTCTACGAACAAAATTTCAAGATCATCTCTATCGAGATCTGTGCGCCTGAAACCTTTTAGTTTTTTTGATAAAACTAAAGCAACTCCACCGTGGCTGTCCGACCATTTCCGCCATTGGCGAAAAACGTTAAATTTGCGCAGGTCAGCAAAAAATTATCAGAATAAATTTCTTGGTCCCACGTTTCCGTAAGCGCACTAACATCAGACTCAGAACAAAACTGCCTAACTTCTTCTTTCTTAGAAAATATACTGTTAATATTGCAATATTTGATTTTTATATTTCGAAAATGTTTTGGATTAACATTCATTACTTGCATATACTTTTTATCGCTGTTTACCCCTGCGAGTTTTTTGAACCCATTATTTCGGGTTCTCCAACAGCTCTGCGTTGATTCGGCATTTTGCAGAACTTGGCCACATGCCCACTCTCGTTACAGTTAAAACAACGCATTACGTAACGTTCGACCGGGCACATGCAAAAATCAAATTTTATGTTACCGGTTTTTTCAAGAAAAAGGCAGCCTTCGTGGGATGTTTCAATGACCATAGCACATGTTTTAACCGCTTCTGCTTTACTAACAAGTTTTTTTGTTACTTTGATTTCACGTATAGGTGACATCTTATCCGACACAATTCTCTCAAAATCTTGGGGGCATGGTTATCGTCATCGTCCTGCTGGTCTCAACCCTGACGGAGTTTGCTAGTAACGGCACCATCGCCACCATTTTCCTGCCCATTCTGGCCAAATTGGTGGGTGTTCCATTATAACAGAACTGAAATTATTACCACGGAACACGCGTAGAGCAAAATGGCAGAAACCTGCTTGATTTTGATCTCCAGTACGAATACTGTTAATGTTTTAGAGTTCCAGAGTTCTAGTAATGTTCTAGAGTTTAGAATTTTTTGAGTTTTCCAGACTGCGAGATTTCGAAATAAAAATAAGCCTATGCACAACATTGTGTGGGGGATGCTGTAGGCGGAAGTGTCGCATGTCAATCCGCTGTACTTGATGTTGCCGGCGACCATGGCCTGCTCCTTCGCCTTCATGCTACCGGTGGCCACGCCCCCCAACGCCATCGCCTTCGGCTCGGGCTTCCTGCGCATCCGGGACATGGTCGTGGCCGGGTTCGGACTCAGTCTGCTGGCGATTGTCATCCTTCTCGTTAATCTGCACACCACCGGCGTCGGGCTCTTCCAGCTCCTCCAAACACCGGCCTGGCTCATCGCCCTCCCCTTGGGATTGCCTATCAACACCACTGGCGCTGTGGCGAACAACATAACGACGCTAGCCTATTGATTCCCTACATCCTTTGCATTGGAGTTCCTATTCTGACCTGAGACATACTTAATGTTCTTCCCTCGTTTAGTCCATTAATTGAACGAATACACAGACCTATCTGTAGAAGAATGTTGGCTGTTTTGGTTTCTTTCTTTTCTTCTTGTACAGCAATAATTTTTATAATTATTAACAAGAAAACCAGAAAGGCTGGGCACTTTAATTCCTTCGGGCAAATAATGTCGATCATGGCCGGGAAAGGCCCCGATCTATCACAGAAAGGGAAAAGACAGCCTGAAAAACAGATTAAACGTTAGCAAATCCAAAGGCACGGGTTAATGTTGGCGATTCAAGCTTGCATTTATACCCCAATTTCCCCCTGGATCTCACACAGGCAACTGCCAGAGACCCGGGAGATATGGAACGAGTGACCACTGAGAAACAGTAAGTGTCCGGCTGGCAGGCGGAACATGAAGTGGCGGGTCGAAGTTAAAGATGGTCACCCAACTGTTTGTATACGGACGAGTTTGTACTTCGTACACGTTAACTTTTCTTGGTATTTTTTGGGAAATGTTTCCACTGTATTCCACGGTATCCTGGCAGTATCCTATACGCATCCTGCCTGTATTCTGAGATTTTGCCATCTTCTTCTATCACTACCATATCCTACCTTATATCCGCAGTATCCTCAGTGTATCCCGTAGATATTCTACTGACAAAACCTAAGTAAACATAAGACAACAGAAGAAATCCAAGACATTCAGCCAAGTACCCCAGTATTCATGTATCCAAGCAGGGTACATGAAAGGTACGTAACGGATACAGTAAGGATACATCAGCATACTGACGTTAATTACATCAAGGTGGATAGGTACATCAAGGTGGATAGGTGGTTACCCTATATACACAGGTGGTTACCCTATACACCTTGGTTACATTACAGTAACCATCAAAGCTGAAGACGGCATCATACACGGAGAATACATATGGGATACCACAGTAGTTGAGAATACTGTAGGATACATCATCCAAGAAGGGCCGTAATGCGTGCGGAATAGCAGTTGATATTGCATGAGCATCAACTCTTCAACAGCCTGCAGTATCCCACCGTATTCTTGTACTGCCGTTTATGTATCCAGCTTTTACCTTGGTTAATTTGATGGGTACCGTTTAGTATCCTAAAGTATCCTTACCGTATCCGTTCCACATCTCCCGTGGACCCTGGTAATTTAATGTTTTTTAACAGAATACATGTAGGATACGTGAAGGAATCTGCAGAAATACGCTGAGATGGGCATTGAAATTAACAGAGGACAGAAAAAGTATAAGGATACATAAAGCACTGTATACATGTAGTGTATACGTAGACGATGCACATTGCCGTTGCTCTAGGAGTACGACAGGAATGAACGGACATTCCTCTCAATGGGCCAATGTCAAAACGCCGGCGGAATTTTCTGCCGGCGCAAATTTTGTGTGGTCAAAACGCCGGCAGAATTTTTGCATAGTCAAAACGCCGAGGGAATTCATGTCGTCCAAACGCCGGCGGAATTTCCTTTGGGAACATTTTCTATCAAAAAAGACAAATTTGTCTCTTTTACGCAGCTTGTCTTCTGTACCGGCTGTCCAGTGCCCAAGCAACAAAATAATGTAAGCTTTCCAGTAAAGAAATTAATGGCCCACGATAATTACAGTAAAAATCTCTAGCGCTATTGAATCGAATGGAACCTCAGTTAGATTTGTTTCGATTGGCAGCTGTACAATCATCTCACTGTCTCAAATCAGTGTACGATAACAATAATAAATTATTATTTGTTTATACGAGTATGCAAAAGCCGCACCCCTTGCTCATACGGAGCACTGAATGAATCCAAGTTTGCTCGTTGCAACATGTTCGCTTACGTAAAGTATGCCGCATGCCGTATGATGAGTAGCTTGTTAATTGATTTTTCCTGTAACAGAGGGCGACGTACGAGTATTGACTGATACGCTTGGATCGTTATAGCAACATTCAGCAGAATTAACGAAGTTGTGCAGCATATTTCCAGAAAAAAAGAGTAATAAATTGTCTCTCTCTCCAGAAATACAACACGGAAGTTTTCTTTACTGCGTACGATTCATGTAAATTACAGGCCATTTTTTCAGCGGTAATATTTGTGGATGCGCATGCAGAAGAATATAATTATTCTAGCAAAAAGCTTTCAGTACTCGGTTCTGCGACAAAGCTCATACCTGTCTGATAGCGACCTTATTCGAACCATGTTCACAAGCGGGGTGTGGCTTTATGGCGCCATCGCCGTGCAAGACGACGATAACTCCTTCCGCCAGGGAATGATCACCGATCTACTTCAGCTGGAGCGGAGCTTCCTCATCGATTTCGATTACCCCGATCATCATGCCGAAAGAGTGCCGTTTGATCGCTGTTTCGGCCCCATTTCGCCTGATTCCCATGGGATTGTTCGCTTTACTGCGGGAAACTCGATAGAAGTCCTATGCCGCAGCAGCGAACAGGAGGCATGGCGCTGGACGCCGGCCACCGTCATTGCTGGATCGAACGAAACCTTCGCTTTTGTGGAGATGCAGCGCAATGGGGAGACCGTCCGTCAGGTGGTATCGCGACAACATGTTAAAAACACGGCAGAATTAGAGCCGATAGATTTGGAACGATACCGACGATACAGTGTGCAGCTGAGCCGACGACTCTTGTATCTGGGCAGCGCGTGCAGCCAGGAGGATCTCCAGTGGTGGAATCGCCAGCACGGGAGTTACCTCCCGGCTTTGGTGGTGAAGATTGAAGAGGGCTGCCTGATCCATATTACCCGCGGCCCAAAGCCCCACCCCCATTTTGCACCAGCGAATTTTAAAGAACTGGTAGGTTACACGCTTTTTGACCTGTTTGTTGCAAGGATTTGTGGTAGTGACATTCTCCTTGGGAATCGTAAAAATAATGTAACGTGCTTAAATTTGCGTCAGCGTTTTTTGATTCCGATTTTTTCCAAAGGCCAGCATTTTCCGGAGAATGGCGGACCGTTCACGTGGTGGAGAGAATTCTCGGACATATGCGCCCAAGGGTCTCAAGCAGGTATGTGGTGCATTTGTTACACTGCCATGTTCAGTCATTTTTATCCCGTCGACAGAAACGTAGTGTTATTCCCTTCGGTAAAACTTGAGGTCATAATGCCAATGTTAAACGTCAGTACCACACTTCTGTAGCGGAGTTTGGACACCGGCCTCCGTCCAGCGTGCATCAACGCGATTTTGCCGCCCGAATCCATCAGCCATATATTCTCCTTTCTGGAGTTGCGTGATCGGATACGGTGCCGCCTGGTTTGCAAAGCGTGGCGTGACATCGCGATGTCGCGCCTCCTACCTGTGAAAATCGAAGTGTGTTCGTACTTAATGCCGGACCATTTTGCCATGGCAGTGGACCGTTGGGTTACTCATGGCACGAAGACGCTGATTTTCCAGTGCTACCACTGCCAAAGCGAGAGAGTGCATCGTGCGCTGGAAACTCTGTTTAGTTTACTGCAGATAAAAGGCATACGACTTAAAACAATCGTATTTTCCAAGTGCGATGTGTGGGCCGATGATATTCTAGCCTTCTCCGACGCTCTTGTGCTGAAATTTCGCCGGAAATTGCACGGCATTTGCGACATACTCGTGCTGCACAACGTGCGCCTGTGCGGGTTGCCTTATGTGGACGCCGAGACATGTCACTGCATATCAACACAAAAAACCGGCTTTTTTGCGTCGGACACATTGGATGTGGCTGCGGACGTGCTGGTGGAAAAGTGCGTGATTGCTATCGGTAATCAACTGCAAATGGAATCGGCGCTGGGTGTGCTGGAGAAGGGATGCCCCCCTGTACGCCCAGAGCAGTTTCCGCTACTGCGGAGTCGGCTGGAAACCGGAATCTTGACGACGGCTGTGGTTCTACAGGTACAGCAGACCCTCATGCAATGATTAAACTAGCCTACCGTATCTCCACCTCTTTATAAATGCCATTAAATTATCCGTGCATTCTGAATGGCGTTCCGGTGGAGACAACTCGACGTGCGGTTTGTGGAGTTGAAAGTTACCGGCATGGCCGGAGGTGCGCAATTGCAGCTGAGAGTCTTACCTGGCGGTACAGACTGCTCACTACCGGCACCCTCCGCCTGTGCCCGATTTCTTCGCCCCCCTTTATTGAACAACAAGTACATAGCATGATGCTAGATAATGAATACCGCGGCCGCTAAAGTAGGGCGGGCGGGTGGTAAACGAAAAATGTTGAGCTAGCAACAAGTGGAAAGCCGTTATGAGAAATAAGCATCACGATGCGTCGCGCACGAGCAACTGCACACGGCACAGAACCGGTGCCGGAAAATACAGGGGTGAGAGTACAGGGAAATTAACGAATTCAGCGGTAATTTAATTTCCGCTAATTCTTAACTGGCATTTAGTATACGGGAAGTGTAAGGTTTAATAGTTTAGCGTCCGCACACATTCAGGGCAGCGCCCTATTCGAGGCAGCAGGCACTCACAACAGCAACAACCATTGCTCCAGAACACACAGCATTTCTGACCAAGCTTTAAACAAGATACAACAGCGCATTTATACACCAGTAACTCAGTGCACCCACTGAGTTTCTGGTGTACAAATTACAAACACCTTTGTTGGCCGAATCGCAGGTTCCACAATTTTTGTCGCCATATCTTTAAAAGTACCAATGCGGGCAAACGTGGAAGATCGCCAGTCTCAACGGTCAGGAACTTACACACTCACAAATCTTGTGGGAATCCCTACATCGCATGTTGCTGGTGCTTGGCTGGTAGTGGGAAAATTAAGCTGATGTGTTCGAGTGGGGAGCAGTGTAACATAGCCCGAAGATCGTGAGCGTGTTTGCGGCGCTTTGCGCAACACGATCCCCTGCCAGAATTCGCTCTGATTTACTTGTGGACAGTTATGTATTATAATTTGTATCCGCTCGCTCGTGTGTTAAACTCAAACACTGATGCCTTAAGGGAAGTGGGCCGGTACATATTTAAAATTCATTTTAAAATTTGAAAAAAATTATGGAGGTCTGGATCGGTGTAAAAACGATCTTCATGGACATGCGCATTTACTTGCAAAATCTGAGGGAGATCGGTCCATAATGAGACCTTTGGTACACCTGAATGCATTTAAACTTTTTGGAATTTTCTGACAGCCATAACTCCCGAACCGGATGCTGCGCGCACAAACGGTTTTCACACCAGTGTACACATATCTTCTGGCTACAGAATGTCATAAACCGAAACAAAAAAGTGTTTGGGAGTGCGAAAAAATAAAAGTTTTCATGCATGTACACGAATTTGGTACCATGTACCGGGCCACTTCCCTTAAAGGCAATATCTTCAACAATTCGAACTGATATAATATCACACAAGTCGAAATAAGTAGAAACGAAAACGGTTGTAGGTTTAAGGTTGAACACGTAGCAGCACTTTAACATATCCCAACATTTTTTATGGCTCATTTTGTGTAAAGGTCATCTTTGGACCCAGTCACATTGAACAGTGTGGAACAGCTTTGCGTGTTGCCAATGTGCCATACGGCCGATAGTCCCCATACCAATATGATACCACTAGACTGTTCTTGGTGGCACAAATGGGACAGTAATTCCAAGGCGTGGCCTTTTAAAAAATTTGAATGTTTCCAAACACAATAACCAATATTCCGTTGGTATCCAAGAACGAAATCTCGTTTTTAGGTGTTAAAGCAATGGCAAGCCGGTGACCCAAGGTTTGCCCGAATATCACTCGCCACTGATTTCCCCTGGACAAAAGTACCGTTGGATTCCCTGACGAAATTGGCCTTCTTCATCTTGCAGTGGCATGTGGCTGACAATTATCCCCAACGATCTCCTTGTCATAAATACTGAACACAGGAACGAAAATCTACAAGCAGTTTTTCATCCTTCAGTGACAAGAAGCAGTGCTTGTATTTTGTAAGTACTGTATTAAGAAATAAGCTAACTGTGCTAGATGTTGCTTCACAAAAAAGCGCCCTATACTTTATTGTTTATATTTATTGTACGGCAGGCAGGTAACCCATTAAAAGGCTAGGATCGAGATCTAGCCTGGGAATTTAAACCTGGCTAAATAACAGGAATCATAATGAAATTAGAGCAAAAGCCACAAAACAAGAGAAGTACTAAGAAAAGAAAGGCATTAATTAATAGTAACATGCTTCAGTGCATTACGAAAAACATTTAATGTGTTTTCATACTGTACAGCGTTCTGCCATGTTGTTCATGGGCAGCCTGCGCAACGGCTTAGCCGTGGAAGAGATCGAGCAGTCTGAATCTACACAAGCGAAGCGTACCGCAGTGCGCGTAATGCTATGGATCGGATCACGCGTAATGCTAGTTTCGTTTGTGTTGCACAGCTGCAGCCGAAAGCGTGAACCGGATGGATGGGGAAGAGCTGCGCTGCGTTAGAGAAATTGTCCTGTGCGTGGCGTCCGCGGGCGACATTTACGGCACGGCGACGCTGACCGGCATGATGCCCAGTATCGTCTTCATGGGAGAAATCGATGCATAAGTTTCCTCGACAGTTGCAGTGATATATACGGGCAATCTGTTGCCGCTTAGTTTATCTCAACTGCAGTAAATCAAACGAAATTATCTATAATGGCATATGTTCTACGATGCAGTTTATATGGACCAGCCACCGGCGTGAACTTTGCCATGTTCCTATTGCTCTTCCTACCGGAAATGATCCTAACGCTTATCGCGGCTGTTATCTTACTGCAGTGGATGTTTATCAGCACATGGGCGTGATTGCCGCACTGCTGCAAGGGTATGCCTTTTTATGAAAGAAAACACGACGAAATGACAAAAAAGATCTGTATGTTTTTGAAAACTACTTCACGCAAAAAACTGAAAACTACGTAATTCAATTAACGGGAAATTTGATTGCTTACCGTTACTCGGTGTAATTATTCAGTCCGTCGCAAAAAGACGCCTGAAAATGGTTCGGCGTATAGGACTGACAAAAACGAATTATCTCAAAAACCCATTGAGCAATTAAATAATAAAAAAAACACTGTGTGCCACAACAGCGTTCCAAAGACATACGAATAAATATCCCAAACAAAACATCAAACAAAACACTCTGTAGACACAATGAAAAAAAAACTCAGTAGACCAAGTAAGATATCTCCATTAACGGAGTAACGCTGATCTTTTTTAATACTAATAAAATAATACTAGCAAAAATCCATTTCCCGGCCGCACGGCGCACAGCATTCCGTGGATTACTGCCCCTCCTTCTCTGAAAAGAGACAAAAGAGATTAACTTTTTAAGAAATTTAGAATCTCTTTTAGTAGTCCATACCTCAACTCAAACACAACTGATCGTGCTGACGATACTTGTGATTACACGCGTACGTAAAAGCCGCACCCCTCGCTGATACCAAGCAGTGAATGAATTCATGTTTACGAGTACTCTTTGCACCATGCTTAATTCAACATGCCGCATGCAAGATGACTACTGAGTAGCTTGTTATTGATTTTTCTTGCAACGGAGGACTCATTAATTTTACTGATAGGCTTGGATCGTTGTGGGCCTGTGGCAACAGTGAACAGTATTTACGAGAAGAGTGTCTAATATCTGCAGAATATTTCAGAGAGGAAAATATAGATTGTTCTCGCTGTTCAGGAATACAAAGCGGAGGTTTTCTTTATTGCGTAAGGCCATTTTTCAGTGGCAATATTCGTGGAGGCGCATGCAGAATCATAGAATAATTAGTGTTCTAGTGATAAGCCTTCATTCAGTACTCGGTTCTTATACTTAGCTGCCGGGAAACTTTTTTAAGGATCGCTCTTAGCTGCCCGACAGCAACCTTATTCGAAACATGTTCAAAAACAAGGTGTGGCTATATGGCGCGGTAGCCGTGCAAGACGACAACAAATCCTTTCGTCAGGGAATGATAACCGATGTTCTTCCAGTGGAGCGGAGCTTCATTGTCGACTTCGATTATCCAGATCATCATGCCGAAATAGTGCCACTTGATCGCTGTTTTGGTCCCATTTCGCCTGATTTCCATGGGCTTGATTCCTTTGCTCCCGGAGACTCCATTGAAGTCCTATGCCGCAGCCGCGAACAGGACGCCTGGCGCTGGACGCCGGCCATCGTTATTGCTGGATCGAACGAAACCTTCGCTTTTGTGGAGATGGAGCGCAATGGAAAGACCGTCCGTCAGGTGGTATCGCGACTACATGTTCAAAACACGGCAGAAAGAGAGTCGATAGATTTCGGACGATACCAACGATACAGTGTGCAGCTGAGCCGACCGCTTTTGCAACTGGCTAGCGCGTGCAGCCAGGAGGATTTGCACTGGTGGAATCGCCGGCACGGGAGTGACTCACCGGCTTTGTTGGTGAAGATTGAAGAGGGCTGTCTGATTTATATTACCCGCGGCCCAAAGCCCCACTCCCGTTTCGCACCAGGGAATTTCGAAGAACTGGTAAGTTAGGCGCTTATTGCCCTGTTTGTTGTAATGACTGTAACATAGACATTCTCGTTGATCCATGCATCATTCTCACCACACCCGAATTTCTGTTACGAGATGCACAGTGCACACTCTGCACTGGCTTTGGTACCACGTTTCTGAGACTGTCTTACATGTAAATACTAAATAGATTTAATAAAGGGTGCGACTAATGTTGACCCACTCACCCCCTTTTCTCACATAAAATAGGCACCAGCTTTAACTGTTGGCACTCCTTGACATTGCGGTGCTCGGACAGATGGATGCTCGGAGAAGCGAAGACACCGGAATTTTGTTTCCGCGTTGTAGCAGCAAGAGGACCGTGATAATTCTGGACTTTCCGCATTCGCTGCAGAAATCATTAGCAAAATAATCCCAGCGATGCATATAACTCAGCGATGCTAAGTTTATCATATAAAAAAATGAGGCCGCAGTTTGGCGATGTATTTATTGCCAATAAGTTTCGCTTATCGTCTTTTCCTGCCACCACCTCCTGCCGCCTGCCGGTGGCGGCAGGAATAGAATTGAAAAAGAAAATACAAGCATTCATTTGACAAGTAATGGCAAACAGCTAGAAGGGTTTGTGCAGTAATGAGTGACAATAATCAAAAGGGGTGCTTAATTTATAAAAACAAAGGGGGTGGCAGTAGCCATTTCCTATATTGAATTTACTTTTTCATAAATACCGCGTATTGCAACATTTCTCTCATAAGAATTATGAATGAAATAATCGAGCCATTAATTCTGAAAATTAAAATAACCCAAACTGTACTAGTATAAGTAAGCGGATGCAAGGCCTCTTCTTGGTCGTCAGCGTGAACCAGGGCTGCAGTTATTTAGCACTCAGTTAAGCCGGACCCGCAATGGTATCCCGCAGTAATCGAGGACTCTCCGTTCAACCATTTATTCGGTGCTTGGGCGCTTCTTAATTAATGATCATTGAGCTGGTGATAAAAACAATGTAGCGTGCTTAAATATTTACAATCATCAGTATTCTTTGGTTCCGCTTTCAAAGGCCGAAATTTTCCGAAGAATGGCTGACCGTTCACGTGGTAGCGAGAATCCTCGGACATCTGCACCCAAGGGTCGTCTACATTGCGGTTTTGAGCAGGTATGTGGTGCGTTCGTTAAGCTGCCATGTTCAGTCATTTTATTTCCTCTACACAAACAAAGTATCATTCCCTTCGCTAAAACTTGAAGTCATATTGCCAATGTCAAACATTAGTGCCACATTTCTGTAGCGGAGTTTGGGAGTGCGCGTTTACTGTAATCGGCCAGGTTTTAAATCCCGTGTTGTTCATAAAAAAATGTGGGCTGCCAGAGTGCCTGCGCGCATCGTGCATGATGAAACCATCATAAAATTAATGCATTGCAATTACATTATGCCAGTTTTTTGTGAACGAAGAATGATGAGAATACGTTAACAATAAGGAAAGTGACCCGGAAACACAGTACTTCGTACTAATGCTTGAAAATGCAGACGAACTTTCGTTTTTTCGCCCTCCCATAATTTTTGCTATTATACTTTATTGGCAATGTGTACGAAGTGACCTTCGCTCAATAATTACAATCAAATGAAGAATTTGTCCCAATTAACACGAGATGGTACAAAATTTAAATAATCGCTTCGCTTTCTAAAAGTGCGCAGCCACAACTTTGTTGATTTGTCATAGTATCCACAAATACTTGCAATATGCCAAAAAGTTTGTAAATTTATTCTCCATTTTTTGATGTGTCGATTAGAAATTTCTGTTGAGAAAGTAAACGAAAAACGATAGTTTGAAATTTCGAGACCGACTAACAGTTGGACCAGTTTCGTGTACGTATGCATGCTGAGGGGTGGAGTTTAATACGAGTATGCATTTTTGGCACCGCCCTCATACAACCATACATCTAATTTGCGCGGCAGTCAGTCGCCGCATTGTTGGTTCGGCCATGGCGTAACTGGTATTGAAAAGTCATTAGTTGTGTAGTGTACAAGTAGCAGCAAACTGCCCGGAATACATCAATCGACATTCCTGGTTATTTTTTCGTGATAGAGGGCCTGTTTAGTTTCGTTCTGTACTCAGGATTTCTAGGATCAGCTGACTGGCTAGCTGAGATAACATGCCGCATCCAGTAGTGTAATGATGGGTTTTTATTCGTCCACAGTCATGGCACATGTTGCTATATGCTTCCGCAAGTTTACACTAAATAAAATGATTCAGCGACATGGCAGAAGAAATTGTTTATGTTGCCTTCAAGTTCGCTGAACAAGAATGATGTTTTAGGTTTTGATTGTTTGCGTAATTATTCCCTTAGTTCGCCACTATAGCACAAATTAAACGAGCTTCACAATGATTTAAGAAAGCAACTGACTCCTTCTGACTGGTATATTAGGGCCAGAAAGAACCCGACACCGGCATCCTTCCAGCGTGCATCAACGCAATTTTGCCGCCGGAATCCATTAGCCATATATTTTCATTTCTAGAGATACGCGATCGGATACGGTGCCGTCTGGTTTGCAGAACGTGGCAGGACATTTCCATGTTGTGCGTACTACCTGTGAAAATCGAAGTTTGTTCGTATCTACCGGACGATTTTGCCATGGCAGTGGATCATTGCGTTACTCATGGCACGAAGACGCTGATTTTCCAATGCTATCACTGTCAGTGCGAGAGGGTGCATCGTGCGCTTGAAACTCTATTTAGTTTACTGCAAGTCAAAGACATACGACTTAAAACAATCGTTTTTTCCAAGTGCGATGTGTGGGCCGACGATATTCTAGCCTTCTCCGACGCTCTTGTGCTGAAATTTCGCTTGAAATTGCACGGTATTTGCGATATCCTGGTGCTGGACAATGTGCGCGTGTGTGGGTTGCCTTATGTGGACGCCGAGACATGTCACTGCATATCAACACAAAAAACAGGCTTTTTTTGCGTCGAACATATTGGACCTGGCTGCGGACGTGGTGGTGGAGAAGTGCGTGATTGCTATCGGTAATCAACTGCAAATGGAATCGGCGCTGGGCGTGCTGGAGAAGGGGTGTCCCCATGTACGCTCAGAGCACCTTTCCTTGCTGCAAAGTCGACTGGAGATCGGAGTCTTGACGACGGCTCTGTTCTATGGGTACAGCAGACTTACAGTGATTACTGTTAATTTAATACTGCTCTCCAAAACTAGTAAACCGTATCTCCACCTCTTTAAAATGCCACTAGTATACGAGAAGTGGAAAAATTAACCTGGTGTGCTCGAGTGTCGAGCCGACGAGCGCTATAAGATCGCGAGCGTGTTTGCGGCACTTTGCGCAACACGAATTAAGTACTGTAGCCGCTCGCTTGAGTTATACCACACAGTTGGTGTACGGGAAAAATGCGCACCAAATATACACACGCTGGCCGGGCCAAATGCACGGACCAGCGCGATTGTAAATTCATTGACGTTTATTCTGAGAATATTGTCCATCAGTTTTTAAGGTGATAACTTTCTCTTTTCAATTTTAAAAGTCTCTTAGACAAACCGCACTGTATTCCACAGGAACGATCAGCTTTCAGGCACCAGCATACTGTCGCTCAATGTGCCTCCCCCTTCCAGGGGCACCCCAAAAACCACAACAAATCAGCTGCTAAACTCGTACATACATCAAAACTCAAAGTTTATGGCCTTATTTTGGTGTCAAATTTTAGACTGATAAGTTTTTTTAAATCTCAGATAGATCAGATCGAAAAATGTAACACAAAGAGTTACAGAAGCACGGTAAATAAGAATCGTGCATTTTGCCCGGCCAGAGTATGTATATTTGATGCGCATTTTCCCGTACACCAACTGTGTGGTATAACTCAAGCGAGCGGCTACAGTACACGATCCGCTTGCATATTTACTTGTGGACATTTATTATAATTTATCTCCGCTGAATCGTATTTAATCTCAAACACTGGTGCCTCAAACGCACTCACTACAAAAATCCGAACTGATATCACCCAAGTGATATCTCAAAATAAGTGGAAACGAAAACGTTTACTGATTTTTATATCCAGCACGTAGCACTTTAACCCATGCCAATGTCTTTTAAGGCAGATTTTAGGTATAGGTCATCTTTCGAACATGGCCACCTTGAAGGCTTGAATAATTTGGAGTAGCTTTGTCATACCAAGCCGGGTTGTATTCTCCGGGCTCTTCTTGGTGGCTACAAATGGGGACGCGGTGTTTCCGTGACCTTTTAAAAATTTGAATGTTTCCAAACACAATAACAAGCATTCCGTTACAGTCAAACTTCCCTATAACATACACCCTCCGTTCCAGGCCTTCTGAATGTTACAGAGAGGTGTATGTTATACAGGAGCACTGCCCTCAAGGGCTCTGGGGCGTAGCCGCCGGGGGTTTTACTTTACCAAAATATTAACAAAATACCAGAGTGTGGATATTAATCGGTCTGAATGTTGGTTTTGCTGCCCTTTTGTATGCCTGGCGTTGGAAGATCCGGTACTAAACGGATTACAATTAAAAGCCAGCACTTTGTTTTACAGTATACGAACTGGTTTTTTACCAGCCTAGCCAACTATATGTTATGCTGGGGTTGAATAAGCTGGTAAAACTGTTACCGGTTCCATAAAAGGTGTATGTTATAGCTGTAAGGGGGTGAATGTTATAGAGAGAACTGTCCTTGTGTTAAAGTCTACCGGACGGTTTGGTTCCCAGCCTCATGTATGCAGTAATGAGGTGAATATTATAGGAAGGTGAATGTGAAGAGGAGTTTCACTGTAGTATCCAAGAATGAAATCTCCTTTTAGGTGTTAAAGCAGTGGCAGGCCGGTGACCTAAGGTTTGCCAGAATGTCACTCGACGCTGATTTTCCCTGGGCAAAAGTACCGTTGGAATCGCTGACGAAATTGGCCATCTTCATCTTGCAGTAACATGTGGCCGACAATTATCCCCAACGAGCCCCTTGTCATAAATATTGAACATAGAAACAAAAATCTACAAGCAGTTTTTCATCCTTCAGTGGCCACATTACGAGCATAGCAAAAGAGTATCATGAGCATGTAGGTATTGATAATTAGGATAGATACATGGGATTCTTATTAAGAAATTTGAGAAAGTGTTTTCTGTTGCTTGCGGGGGATTCGACCATGTTGTTCATGGGCAGTCTGAGCATCGCCGTGGCCGCAGAAGAAAACAATCTAAGAGAGCAATACCGGTTAGTGCAATATAAGCTTCTAATTATAATACAAAAATGAACGTAAATGAGGTACTTCGCTATTCTCATATTCCGGTCACTTTGAGTGAATGGTTTCATGTGCCGGTCACCGGTCACTGGTAAATTTTGTAGATGTGAATAGAATTTGTACAATTCTCGACAATCGGCTGTGTCCACCGACTACGGCCATGATCACGGCATCGCTGAGACCGCCATGCTAGAGCTATTTCGACGTAAACGGACGGCTAAAAAACTGAGAACCTCTCGGATATTTTAACCGTCCTCGTGATGTGCCGAGAACGGTTCAGCTGGCGCCACAGCTGGTACATGTCCGCTAAAGGTCACCAACAGGTAAGGGTGACGCCTCAAAGATATACGTCTCCGCTGCACGTGGCGGTCAATATCTTGGTAAAAGGATTTAACGATACATGAATCAATAAATATTAATTTACCGCTTGTCTAAGTTCCGCTGATGCTCCATAGTAGTCGGAGTCGTTGAGCAGAATGCATTTAGATGCAGACGAGTTGCGCTGCATGTGAGGAATGACCTGTGCGTGGCGTACGCGGCCAACATTGGCGGCACGGCGGCGCTGACCGGCACGAACCAGCCGCACGATGCCCATTATCGTCTCCAAGGGACATACCAGCCACCGGCGTGAACTTTGCCACGTTTCTCTTGTTCTCCCTGCCGGGAATGCTGCTGACGCTGATCGTGGCCGTTATCTGGCTGCAGTGGATGTTTATCAGCACATGGGGCGTTGATTGCCGCACTGCTGCAAAGGGTACTTTCTGTGCGTTTTCAGGAAAGAAACACGACGAAATGACAAAAAAAATCCTTAAAAAAATCTGTATGTTTTTGCAAACTACTTCTACACAAAAAATCTGAAAACTGTATAATTCAACGGGAAATTATGATTGTTTACCGTTGCTCAGTGTTATTATTCAATCCGTCGCAAAAGAAAAAACACCCGAAAATGGCTCGGCGTCGGACTGACAAAAATGAACATCACAAAAACCATTGAGCACCGAATAAAAATCACTGTGTGTCACAACACGTTCCATTAAAATATCCTTCGCACATAAAAAACCCTCGCAATAAATAAATAAAATCCCTTACACCAAAACACTCTGTAGACACAGTGAAAAAAACTCAGCAGACCAAGTAAGATATCTCCATTAACGGAGTTTGGGCAAATCTCTTTAATACTAATAAATTAATACTAGCAAAAATCCATTTCTCCGCCGCACGACACACAGCATACCGCGCGGTTACTGGCCTTCTTTCTCTGCAAGAGACAAAAGAGATGCGAATTACAAGCCTGTAAGAGTTTCTTGCGTAAAGTACAGCGAAAAACGCAAATTCATGGGTTGTGCAAAGCTGCATGCTACGGCGCGCCACACCACACTGTGTTATCTTGGTTATTAATTCACGTTAAATGTACATGTAAAAATGATTATTGATGATTAAATACAGTGTATAACTACAGGCATACAGCAGAGTGTAAAGGTGACGATAATAAAAATTTTATGGGGAAATTAAGCACTGGAAGACTGCATGAAGAGCTGGGCCGGCTGCCATGCGTATCACCGGAAACCGTTACCTACAGCGCTTGTCCGCCTCGGCCTGCGAGTCCTGCAAAGCGCGAGCGAGATCGTCCATCTCATCCTTTTCCATTGCGTCCGCTGGTTCGCCGCGCACAGGCACACTCCCTTGGCCGGCCGTCGACGCAGCCGCGGGCGGGGCCCCACTGCCGCCCGCCTGCGTTCCAGACGTGCTGGCTTCGCTGTCGCCGGGCGGATGCGCGGCCTGGTAGGCCGTCAGGATCGATGCGCAACGTGCCTGCAAAATGCCGTCATCAGTGTGCTGTCCCGCTAGCGCAACCAGAAATAATTTATCGCGCACACAGTACATACAAGCTTGTCGAGAAAAATCCGGGAGAAATTCAAATTTGTGGATTGCGCACTGTATCTGTTGTGTAGTGGCCGCTGCTTAATTATATACTAACATTGCTCAGTGCGCTTTACCTGTACCTGTACGCCCATAATTTCTCGACAAGCTAGTACATATATTACGGTATTAGTACAGTACAACGCAGTGCCATCCCAGCGATGCATCAAGTCATACTGTGTAACTGATGTGTGTAATGATACTGTGTAACTGATACATGCACGAAAACTTACACTTTCGCGCACTCCCAAACACATTTTGGTTTCGGTTTATGACGTTTTGTAGCCAGAAGATTTGTATACACGGGCGTGGAAACCGTTTGTGCGCGCAACATCCGGTTCGGGAGTTATGGCTGTTACAAAATTCCAAAAAGTTTAAATGCGTTCAGGTGTACCAAAAGTCTCATTATGGACCGATCTCCCTCAAATTCTGCACGTAAATGCACATAACCACGAAGAACGTTTTTACGCCGATTCAGACTTCCATGATTTTTTTCAAATTTTAAAATGAATTTTAAAATTTTTGAAATTCATTTTAAAATTTGAAAAAAATCATGGAAGTCTGAATCGGCGTAAAAACGATCTTCATGGACATGCGCATTTACCTGCAAAATTTGAGAGAGATCGGTCTATAATGAGACTTTTGGTACAACTGAACGCATTTAAACTTTTTGGAATTTTGCAGCAGCCTGCCAGCCATAACTCCCGAACCGGATGTTGCGCGCACAAACGGTTTTCACGCCAGTGTATACAATTCTTCTGGCTACAAAACGTCATAAACCGAAACAAAAATGTGTTTGGGAGTGCGCGAAAGTGTAAGTTTTCGTGCATGTACACGAATTCGGTACCATGTACCGGCCCACTTCCCTTAAAATGAAAATAAGTGTTCAACACTAACCTGCTTATACTGCGGATCCTCCTCCGAATCCAGCTGTTCCCGGCCGCGCTTCCTGCAACGGGACCAGTATGTTGTGCTGAATTGACACTGTACTGCTGAAATTAATACGATGCGGCAAATTCTCTAACGTATGTACTGTATGTTAATGTACTGCTGAAATTTTTACAGTGAAGCTGTAGCGATACAACCGGCTTTCGCGGCAAAAACGCACTAAAAACTACGTACGGCTTTATGTACTGCGAAATTACAGAAAGTATGCCGGTACATTATATGAAATTCATGTGCATTTGCCCAAAGCTTTCCTTTATACCTATAACACGTTTCTGCGGTGCTTTATGACGTATACGAGTAGCTAATTGGCACGCATTGGCGAGAAAATGGTTTGCGCGCACAACATCCGGTAGCGGAATTATGGGTGAAATAAAATTTCAAAACGCTGAAATTCTCAGTATGAACTATACAGCGCTGCTCTTCACATTCTGCATGAAAACGCTCATTGGTATTTAGATCGTTTCTGCATCGAAACAAGTTAGCATGATTTATTTCGAAGTTAAAAATTGAAACAAAATCTTACACATAAATTTATTTCAAACTTGAAAAATATTGTGCACGCCTGAATTCAGTTTTCTTCAATTTGAAAAGCATATAATTTTTATTTTGAATACAACTTCTTCATTTAAAACAACAATTTGAAGAGCATCGGTGCGTTCATCGGTTCGATCGTCATCAAAACATTGAAAGAGAATCGGCTTAACGAGACGTTTTCTTAAACTTGTGTGCGTACTCAAATTTTGGAAAATAATTTATTTTTTTCAAAACTCAACAAACGGCTGTACAGCCGTTTGTTGAGTTATGAAAAAATAAATAGCACATAAATAGTTTATAAGCCGACGTATACAAATCAATGCCGTAAAACAATTCAAAGAAGTGTTTGGGAGTGCGCGAAAACGATAGTTTCCTACATGTTCACACAATGTACCGGCATACTTCCCTTATACAAATTTGTATATATAGAACAAATGCCGGTTTACATATGGCATGGCCAGCTTAAATATTTTCCCCTTATTTTCTGCTCACTTGGAGTCTTTGCAACGATGTTCCTGATTCTCCTTCTTCGACGCTTCCAGCTCCGCCTCCAGCGCACCGATGGTCGTCTGCTGCGCACCGATGGTCGTCTGCTGTGCGTTGATGGTCGCTACATGGGCAGCAACGGTGCCTTCCAAGGCCGTAATAGCGTCATTGGCGGCCTGGAGTTCGTGCGCCGGCACCATCGCAACGGGCGCCACTCCCTCGGCCAGCGCCTCCAGCTCCAACAACAGCGGATTGGCTGCAAATCACAATGGCAAAAATGATTATTCTAGCATAAACACGGCGCTGTATAATCGTACAACCAAATTCACTTCTGCAATTGGTAACGAATACGAACGTGGAACGTGGCAAAGAATACGTCAAGCTCTTGATATTAAACTTGGTACGTCTCTCTATGTATGGCACTTATCGTTAATTATTTTAAAACGAATACACAATTTCATTAACTGGCGCTTCTGTCGCCATTACGAAAAAAAGTAGTTATTGTACATAATGCATGTTATTTGAATTTATCGCACATTTATAAACTTTATCTACATCCACAAAAAGTCAGTTTCGTACTGCCAGAAACTAAAAAGTACAGTATATCCTTGTAAAAACTAAAAAGTATACTTGTTTAAATACTTAGATACTGTTGTTAAATATACTGTTAGATTCTATAGTTAAACAATTTAAATACTTAAATAATACTGTTACACAATTTGCATAAAACGTCACGGATTTATATAAATTTGTGAAGATAACGGATGCTCTAAGATGGCAGCGGTCACGAAAATCGCCACGCCAACCGTGTGGTATTCCACTGGCGATGCGTTCGCACATTTTATATAAAGGACATTCCAAAAGTAAATTTCCCTGTTCTGTTACTCCCGCTTTCAAGGCATTCAGCTAAAAATCACCCATTTTGTAACACACACCTACGCGCTTCGTGCTGTAGAGAGGCAATGCACGAAATTACAATTCGGAACAATTACTGTTAAATGTTTTAATAGGCAATAGCCGCCAAGATAACAATGATTGCATGCGCCGGTACACTACTTAATAGTTAAAACTTAAACATTAAAAAATGTTTAAATTTTAAACTGTTAAATTACTGCTATCATTAGTCATTACTATCAAATTAAGAATACTTCCCAAAAAGAACAAGGACAATTTTTGACGCCCTTCCTCGTGGTTTACCCCCAAGGTTTTTGTCAGTTTTCACAGGCTTCGTCCTCACTTTTCGGGAAGCTTAAAATGTCCCTGAGTTTAGCATTCTTCCTTTTTATCATACAATTTATGAAATAAATTACTCATGTAATTTATTTCAGCCCATTACCGCATTTTCAGGAAAAGAGGAACTTTTTGTGACCAGGCCGGTGCCAGAAATGGAAAGCTACGCAGCTTACGTACGATTTAGAAAAATCTTGAAAATAGTTTCCTGTTATCGGCGCATATTTCGAAGTTCTTTGGGGTATACGGTGGGCATCATTTGGCGTAAATTGTGGTTTTTATGGGGCAAAAAATCATGCATACACAAAAACGGGAAGGCTGGTAAAAAAATTAGTCTGGTGAAAGAAAAACGTTTTCTTTTAATTCTCTGAGCTTTTCAAAATGTTTTGTTACCACTATAATATTAAGGACACCATTTGCAGTTGACATTTTTAAAATATCGACAAAATCATATCGGCAATGAAAGAGGAAAAGAATGACGATAAAAACGGGGCACGAAAGCTCAATAAAATTGCACAAGTCATTCCCTTTTTTATTTATCTTTCTTCATTAACGAAACTTTCGATTCTTTTTTCCCCGAATAGTTCACAGAATGGCATACCCAATAAAAATATTTCGCTTGTGTGTTCCTCCAAATGGCCGACTTACATTTGGTAGTATGTCCTTTGTATTGCACTTACCACGATAGTCCCTTCTAACATTTTCTTTACATTAGCTGATTTTGTTGTTCAGATATCGATATGCTTCGCTAATATCATTACCTCGGTTGATATAAAACGTTATGCACTAGCAAAATTGTACAACCCTAATTTCTAAAAGGATAACACAGTTTAACTGGATGCAGTTGTCCAAATGTTGTAGTTGTATGAGCATTTCCTGATTTTAACTTTACCGTATCGGCATTTTTTAGACATCTTCAATAATGATGTTATTAACCCAATGTTGCGTTCAGTTTCCGGCCAAATAGTGATTTTAGGCTCAGCAAATGGTTGTAGGCAACGGATGCAGTGAGCAGTTACGCTCACGATCACATTTGAAGATGCGTCCAGGGGATGATGGCACCAAAGTTTTCCTTTGCTCGGCAACAGTATTTTCTTTCACTCGGTACCTGAAATGTATCATTCGTACTCGATGCAGCAAGATTGCCAAGGCGAAATTAACAAATGTGGAGATCAGAGTGCATTAAGAAACTGTGCAAAGAGACCCTTGCGAACGATTACACATGTAAGTACTCAACCGTCTCAACGGTAGAGTATGAGCTGATAATCTTAATGTGGCATAGCTAAGTCTTGGAATCTACGCGAAGCGAGAACGGCATCTCAGCCCATAATAATTATTTTATTAGCAACTTCGACACTGCCAAAATTCAGAATGAGAACAAAACTGATGCCACAGTATTTCATCCGCGAGACTTATATACGCGCAAGAAGCATCCGGTTAGCAACCGTTAGCCAAACCAAAACAAAAGAGAATCTTCTAGAAAAACACCAAAGTACGAGCAGAACTGCAGAAGTACATGGACATCCGCGATCGAGAGCGGCTAGCGATCAGAACCACATTATTTTCAGACCAAAACACAAAATACCACCCTCGTACGGCACCTATATATTACGTCAGATCACTCAGATGTGTGCAGCCACTCCTCGACCAACCTTGCCTCGACTTTGGGTCGGGTATGTTGTCACCGGCATCTTTGGCTTTACCCGGCAAACTGGCTAAAGCACAGCGGAAAGCACTCTTTGAGCGCGTACATTCGGGCAAGCCCTGTAATTCTATACGTACGCTGTACTTAGAAAGCCGCTTACAGCAACAACGGTAACTATGTTACAGTAGATCAGAATCCCTGTGTGTAAGATCTTTAGTTCTTAGGTCGCCTTTAACTGCTCGTTCACGTAACTGCCAAAGCGCCCGGTGAGAAAATAATGATAAGATAACAGTCAACGGTGAGTCAGCGGGCAGCTGCCAGTTAAGCACCGGGTCAATCGGCTTGGACAACGTACGTGTGCACCACCTGGCTGCGGTATCCGGACGCACAACTACAGGCAGCGAACTTTCCGTGTCATCCTCGGATCCTGTACCAGGTGTTTCCGCAGGCTTTCGTCGCAAGTTCCGGCTGATAATTCGACCCAATGCCCGCTACCAATTACTAGGATATAGTTGGATCCGTCACGCGTGCAATGATGAGCGGAACATTGACCATCTCATTCCAGATGACGACTAAGAATGGTCGATTGACCACAAAATCTGGAACGCATTTCACAATGAGGGGCGTCATGTTGAACGATTCAAAGGGAGAAGTCGTAAGGCCGTATTCCCAGAGGTCTGCAAAGCATTCCGGCAAGTTATAATAATCAGCCGCTGACCTCGCTCGTGCGTGATTCATCTAGGCACATGCTGACAAAAACAACACTTGACTAGCCTAAGCATGTTTGAGGTACTTCGTGTATAAGGATATGGGAGAGTGCCGAATTGTACTCGCCTTGGCTACTCAAAAAACAATCAGTCAATCAATCAGCGAGCAAAGCCACCTATGAACAACCAGTGCACACTGCACACGCTGCATGTTTTTCCTTGGGTTTCAGTTTCCTCACCTAAAATAATTTGCTGTCCAAATTCACCGACCGACAGCGGGTCCGTCGCTGGCACATGCAGTACGTGGTCAACGGTTTCCGGTATCAGATGGCGAAGGCAGAAAGGAGTCAGTCCCCTGCTGGCGACTAACGGCTGCAGATCCGTAGTGTAGGTGATGCGAAACTTGGACACGAGAATGTGCAGCACGATTTGGCTGCTCTTCTCGCGCCAGCGCAGCAGCCGCTCTACCGTCAGCGTCGCTTCCAGCTGACGCGTCGTCCCGTCGCCGTCGGGCGGCGGAAGTAACAGCACCATGCTGTATTGTACTGTGAGCGATAGCTGCACTGACGTTCACCCTCACGACCATGGCGCTACGCTGCCGATGACGTGTCTGTGTTGTGTCTCTGTTGGTTGGTTGACGGCTAAAGCCGCTCATTGTTCTCGCCTAGTAGGCGGCGCCCAAGTGCGCGTGCGAAGCAGCAGGGTTTGGCTCTTCGCTCAGCAGATTTGTCAGTTCATCAGTCAGTCAGTAAAGTTTGCTCATGCTAGCTGGATGTCGTGTGTACTGTGTTGCACATTTATCCATAGCCTATAGCATAGCACGCTACGCAGGTTCCTGTCAGTCTGGGACGCTGCCCTGGATTCATCCTGAATCCCACATTATAGTACTGGGGCCCGGCCGCGTAGAGGATGACCATCTGCGGATCGTCCGCGTCGGCGTTGTCACGGTTCGCGCAGATGTTGTGGCAATGCACGTCTCCTGCGTACTCGCACACCATGAAATCCACCTTCTTCTGCACATTTCCCGGGCACGTGAAAATCCCCGGCCTGGTCAGCTCGGGTTCGAACGGCTGCTCGAAAGCGCCCTGAAACTGACAGCGGCTGGTAAGAATAAAATTCGGTACACGAGCGGCGGTTTGTCCGGTTGAAGGCAGCTCAACATCATTTTCACTTTTACATGCAGATCTAAAAGTCTGCAAACATTTTCTTTTAGGAAGTACGAATAAAACAGAAATAAACTGTCATAGGCTTAATCGAAAAAAAAACTTAATAATTTTATAAGACCAAGCGATACCTACTCGTAATATCATGTAACTATGTACTATGTAATATTGGCTGTGTTTTACAAGCTACGTCCGTTGTTCGTAGCGATTCTGCCGATCATGGCCAGTGGCGTGCCGTGTCAAGCGTTAGAGATAAGACGGCCGATTCCGCTGCTTCTTGGGGCTGCACCATCATGCAGCAACGTCGCTCCAGGACAAATTTGCGTTTTTCGAAAACACTCGACAAAACAAATATCTGTATGTTCATACGGAAACGCATTGTAGGTGTGACCGACGCTGAAATCAAGGAGCAGTATTCAATGGGCAACGGTCGCACAGCAGCACTGACATCCCCATGAAATCACTGTAATTCGGTACGTATTATTTTTGCAATTAATGTTAAGATAAACCTCCGTGGCACTCGTAGCAGAGAATACCAGCGTGCTTTTCCATAAATAAAATAACTCGATGGAACGCTGCATCAAGAACGCAACCCGACCTATCGGCCACGGTAGCGCGACAACTCTATGACCTTCGTTTCGCTGACCGACAATTTGATGACCGACTTGTTGCTGACTACCACAACTTGCTGACCGACAAATCGCTGACCGACAGTTCGCTTTTTTACAAACTGGCTGACCGACATCTTGCTGAAACTAATTTGCTGAACGACAGCTTACTTGTCGGTCAGCGAAATGTCGGTAATCGACAACTCACTGACCGACAACTTGTAGAAGACGAAAACTTGCTGACCGACAATTTGCTGATTAGTTCAACGCACATTTGCGATATTTACGCGAAAACCAGAATTTTCGTTGATTTAATAAAAAGGAAGCAATGCTGTGACAGTTATAACTGAAATTCAACTTTTTGCCATTTAGTAGGCCGTATTAAGTTCACAAGTATGTTATGGTCTCAGTCAATATTAATTATTACTAATAACTGTTAAAAATGTTTTAATAATTACACCGGTTTCTTAGGTGTCTTAGTATTCTTAGGTTTCTTAGGTTTCTTAGGTTTCTTGGGTTTCTTTGGTTTATTAGGTTTCTTAGGTTTCTTAGGTTTGATGACCGACTTGTTGACCGTTCTTAGGTTTCTTAGGTTTCTTAAGTTTCTTAAGCTTCTTAGGTTTCTTAGGTTTCTTAGGTTTCTTAGGTTTCTTAGGTTTCTTAGGTTTCTTAGGTTTCTTAGGTTTCTTAGGTTTCTTAGGTTTTTTAGGTTTCTTAGGTTTCGTAGTTTACTTCTGTTCCATAGACTTTTTAAGAAATTCCCTCGTACGCGCTCGGGCAGAAAAAAGCAGAAATGGACGACTGGAATTGTCAGATTGCTCCATAAGCCGGCAAGAGAAGTGTTTGTGGTATCCGATCATAATCACCCAAATTTAGTTATTCAAGGAATTGATTGGTAACAAACTAAATTTGTTGTCAGCGAGTTGTCGGTATTTCCATAAAACGTCGGTCACTAAAATGTCGGTCAACAATTTAGTAAGTAAGTAAGTTGTCGGGTAAACATTCTGTCAGTCAACAAAATGTCGTCAGCAAATCGTCGGTGTCAGCGAACTGTCGTTCAGCAAAATGTCGTTCAGCGATTTGTTGTTTCAACAAACTGTCGGGTCAACATTTTGTCGGTCAGCAAATAGTCGTCAGCAAGGTGTCGGTCAGCAAGATGACCGTCAGCGAGTTGTCGGTGTGCCATCGGCCACACATAAATGCAAATAAAACTTGTACAGTTTTCACGTTTATTTAATTTATTTACTAGTAGACCCCGCGCAAATTGCGCGCAACATATCGGATACGTAACAGGAAAGTATTAAAATAAGAAGGATATCATCATTATTTATTTTTTGGTGACAAAGATCACGGTTTTTTTGTATCATTTTCACTATCATGCTCTGTATTGTTTGTGCGAATAATGTTTTCGTGGCAACGTCACAAACTTGGAGCAATTGTAAATCCACAAGGTCTGATACCGGAAGCAGCACTATGAGTCTGTGACTTAGAACTAAGGAGCAGACGTTGCTCATTTGACGTTTCTGCCTATCCCATCCATAAAAATGATTTTTCCACACATGCCGTTTAATCCGAAAGTATCAGTACGAAGTACAGGAAGTGGTGGGAAAGCGGAATGCAATCCCGTGCAAAAAATTGCCACGATTAATGTCTAACTTGATGTTCCCATCGCGCCAAAGCTTGGCGTCGGGCGTCGCCTGCGGCTCCGCCTTTGGTTCTTATTCCACAAAAAGAGTAAAAAATCAGATTTTCGAAAATTTACGACGCAGAGGAAACACCTAATGTTCCGTGACATCTGGAGCCACCTCTTCTCAGATCTAACTTTTCCTGGTTCTGCTGCAGAGTAACTATAACTGACTTGGAGTAAGAACTATCGAATGATACATAGATGCCGCGCAAATTGCGCGGTTTAAATCGGCTACATGCCGTTCTGCGGATAATTCAGTCCAAAAGCTACCATTATTATCTATGTAAGGTACTTTGTAGCATAAGCGATGTGCAATGGTATCATCCCATTTCGCCAACGGGACATTTCGCCAACCGGACATTTCGCCAGTGGGACATTTCGCCAACCGTAGTTTTTTTTTATTTTCTTAGGTTTTCTTAGGCTTCTTAGATTTCTTCGTTTTTTAGGGTTCTTAGGTTTCTTGTTTTCTTAGGGTTCTTTAGTTTTATTAGGTTTCTTAAGCTTTTTTAGGTTCTCTTAGGCTTCTTATATATCTTGGTTTACTTAGGGTTCTTAGGTTTTCTTAGGCTTCTTAAAATATTAGGTTTCTTAGGTTTCTTAGTTTTTTCTCGTGTTATTCGATTCTAATTTCTAACTGTTTGTGATAACTTCGTTTCGAGCTGCTGACATAACGAAATGTCCTGTTGGCGAAATGTCCTGTTGGTGAAATGTCAGGTTGGCGAAATGGGTGGTAGCCTGTGCAATACAGTACAACTACAGACAGACAGACAGTACTTATTTTATTTAACTCCACCGTGCAGAATAGGGTTGGCGCTATTGGCTGTTGTCTTACAACGATTTTTTTTAAATTTTTTCTCCCTTGCTGCTTCGTCTTCTGCTGGTTGCCACACATTTTACAAAGCAGAAATTTTTTAGAAAACCTTTTTTTACTGCTCTCGAGCCCGTTCACTGTGCCAAAAAATGCATACTTCAACAATGGGAGTACCTATTCCAAGGCTCACCAGCTGCTGCCCGTGGACGCGCTGCTGGTATGCTTTTTTAAAACTGGTCAGACTTCTGCGGAGGGCAGTTGTTTTAATCATCATGGTTAAAACTGTTCGATACGCTTCGACTCTTCGTTGCTTTTTTCATAAAACTCTCCTTTCTTTCGGAGCCTGAGTTTCGATGAGAAATTAAAAAGGCGGCGCTACCCTATAATTTACAAACATTCAAGTTTCTTTCCAGTGAAACGTTCTGGAGGCCCTTGGCTGCTTGGCAGCAAGGGGGGTTTTGGTTGTTTATTTGAGACAATGGTGAGGTGGTCGGTTCTGCAATGGTGGATTCTTCATTTCTCCCGTAGACTTGGCATGTTAAGTTTTTTCAATGTTTTGTGAAACTGGAACTGGTTTTTTCAGATCTGACTTTTGATGGCTCTACTACACGATAAGAGCTATCGAATGATACCAAGACATCGAAGTTTGGTCTTGTGTGTGGCTGGGACTGACTCCCCGCAGTTGAATTTTGAGCGCTTCTTATTCTTTTAGTATAAAGGATTTTCGTATAAAGGATTTTCTTCGTATGCAGTATGCAATGTGGTTAGGGTTCGGCTGGCGGTTGGCCATAAAAAAATTCGGTCAGTGTTTTAAGGTTGTCCGTCTCTTGACCGGCAGGGTGTGCCGTCAACCTGTCAAGTGGCGTAAAGTGTAGACTTGCCGCCCAGTGTGACGGGTACGTTTGTAAGTGCGGATCATTCCGCTGCGGTCCCTTCCAACGGTCGAATAAGTTCAACACTTTGACTTACTTTGCTGCACTTTCGCGGCAGCCACTGCAGCTGTTTGAAGTATTTTTGTTTTCGTGAGTCAATTTTGTGCCTGTAGGGTTCGTGCACCACTGTACCGTGTAAAATGGAGCGCTTCTCAATTCGATAGACTTTTTCTATCTAGCACGCGGAGATGGATGTAGGTAGCAATATCGGTCCCATCTCTGGCGCGGAGTGTGTGCGTCTGCTACCTCGAATTGGGATTTGCCCTGAATCTGTGCGGAGGTTAAACCATTAAACCTTAAACCTCAAGAGCATTATTCTAATACAAATCGTCTTAT